TTAGGTGCCTTGGCTTATATTCGGGTCAGCTTATACTCGAGTACATTACAATTCATAACAGTAGCAAATTCATAACAATTCATAACAGTACATTACAATTCATAACAGTAGCAAAATTACTGTCATGAAGTAGCAACGAAAATATGGTTGGGGGGTCACCACAACATGAGGAACTTAATTTAGGGGTCACGGCTTGAGAACCACTGCTCTAGCAGAAAATGCTTAGTCATTCTGCTGTAACTAGCTCCAAAAGTATTGTAGTACAAGACGGGCAGACAGTGAAGCTGAGAAGAATGCTGACCTATCACACACACTCTTACCATGTGCCACGCTTTAATGGTCGTTCCTGGAACTGGATGCCTGAGTGATTTCTTAGAACTACATTTGAGAAGTTTCTCACTCATTCTCGATCCTTCAAGAATTCCTGGGGAAGCATAAAGCTTATTAGAACTTAGCCCTATATAAATAGAGGCAGGCTAGTCGATTTGTGGTCACTTCACAGTTAATTTTCATAGCAATTACATTGTGATTTTTTAATGATTCTTTCATGAGCTTTTGTGTCTATTACCTCTTTGTGAGGTTTAGTTATGTAGTTAGTATGTGTTCATTAATAAACTGTTGCGATTTCTTCTATTTGTATGTTAGAACCCCAAACTACTACAATACATTGCTGGTAGAAAAACATTATATTGACTCAGATGCTTTTTTGGAGGGGATTTCAAGTACAGGCAGCTCCCATGTTACAAACAAGAAAGGTTCTGTAGGTTTAAAAATATACCTTTTAAAGCTTTCGATAGCAAAAGAAGGGTTAACATTCCTGTGGTGTTTGTTTTGTTGCATGTGTCACCGTTCAGAAAATTTCACTTCCATTTCTGTCCCTGTGATAATTGAATTTTGAAAAAAATGGCTTGTTGTGGAAACAAGGATTGTTGAGAAAGCTTCAGGGGAGACACCTTTTTCCCATGATAACTCTTCCAAGAATAAATTTCCCTTCTTAGGGATAGATTTATCTCACTTCCTGTTGTCTCACCCCTGTTCTTAACGGTGAGTGGCATATAAGCCAGATGTTTGTAACTCAGGGACTGCCTGTACTTGCATTTTGTTATTAAATTTTATTTGCTTTATTGAACTTTGGAAGAATTTTTGTGTATGGCCAAGTTTTGACAATATAATGTGTATTGATGGTAGTTGAGAATGAATTGAGATATGGTAAATTTCAAAGTTTTAAAAATACAATTTCATTGTGTGGACACTGCAGAATTATTTAGATATCTCTTTACTTTACATTCCTTTTCTATCTACCTCCTCTTCCTCCCTCCATAACACTACTACTAGCACCATTAACCTGTAAGACATAGAGTAGGCCTAAGTTGCTCCAATATAGAAATGTATTTATTTATTTAAAACATTTCTATTCTGCCCTTCTCACCCCACAGGGGACTTGGGGTGGAGCACAACATATACATGGCGAACATTCAGTGCTGGGACAGAAAACCATAAATATATACAAACTAGGCCTGTGCGATTTAGTTCGTTATTTCGTTATTTCGTTATTAATTCGTTATTTTTGCATTTTTGAAGCGATATCAAAACACATTTTCAAACCCGGAAGGGTTTAAAAATATCGAACCGGCAGCCCCCATAAATTTAACAAGCTTCCGCTCGTTTCGTTAATGGGATGGAGGCTGCTGGAGTGCTGGTGCCATTCCCCTCTTTCTCGGCCTGGGCTGCTCTCCCCGCCCTCTTTCCCCTCTCCCCGTTTTCCAACACTCCTCCTCCTCCACATGCGGCTGCATAGTGAGTGAAGTACTGTATAATAGCGCTGCATCAGGGGCGGCTGAAGCAACTTACGTGCCAAATCCCTGGCTGTGGGCTGCTTGCCTTGCTTGCTCGCTTCTCCAAGCGGGCGAAAGGAGAGGGAGAGAGAAAAACAGTGTGCTGCTGCCTGTCTCTTTAAGGAAGGAGCACATGGAGCCCTCGGCTGCCCGTTTGGCGGAGGGAGGGAGGCAGGCGCGCTTGGTTGCTCTGGGTTTAGCTGAGGAGAAAAAAAGAGCAACCAAGCGCGCGCCTGCCTCCCTCCCTCCGCCAAACGGGCAGCCGAGGGCTCCATGTGCTCCTTCCTTAAAGAGACAGGCAGCAGCACACTGTTTTTCTCTCTCCCTCTCCTTTCGCCCGCTTGGAGAAGCGAGCAAGCAAGCCAAGCAGCCCACAGCCAGGGATTTGGCACGTAAGTTGCTTCAGCCGCCCCTGATGCAGCGCTATTATACAGTACTTCACTCACTATGTAGCCGCATGTGGAGGAGGATTCAGGAGCATTCTCTCCTGACGTTTCTCTCATATCTTATAGCAGGCATCCTCAGAGGTTTGTTGGAAACTAGGCAAGTAGGGTTTATATCCCTGTGAAATAACGTCCAGGGTGGGAGAAAGAACCCTTGTCTGTTGGAGGCAATTGTGAATGCTGCCATTGGCCACCTTGATTAGCATTGAATGGCCTCGCAGCTTCAAAGCCTGGCTGTAGAAGGTCCAGGGTGGGAGAAAGAACTCTTGTCTGTTGGAGGCAAGTGTGAATGTTGCCATTGGACAGCTTGATTGGAATTAAATGGCCTTGTAGCTTCAAAGTCTGGCTCCTTCCTGCTCAGGGGAATCCTTTGTTGGGAGGTGTTAGCTGGGTCTGACTCAAACCCGCTATGTCTGTAGGCCTGTGCGGTTTCGTTTTCCATTTTAAAATATTTTTAATATTATTTTTAATATTATTTTTTAATATTATTTTTAATATTATTCTTAAAAAATAAAAAAAATATTCTAAAAATTCGTTAATATTTACAAAATTTTGTAAATACCAAAACTTTTTTTGGGAAAGTTTTGTAATTATTTTAAATATCGAAACAAAAAAACACCCCAATTACAAAACGATTTTAGAAACAAATTTTTTCTTGATCAAACAGGCCTAATACAAACAGTAAAATCACTTATATCCACATTAAAATCAGTTGCTTTAAAACCATCTCAGGACACCATTTTGCCTCATTGCACTGTCCCAAAGGCTTGGTCCCACAGCCAGGTCTTCATCATCCTTCTGAAGGACAGGAGAGAGGGGGCTGATCTAATATTGCCAGGAAGGGAGTTCCATAATCGGGGGCAATCACTGAGAAGGCCCTGTCTCTCATCCCCACCAAACGCGCCTGTGATGGTGGCAGGACCTAGAGCAGGGCCTCCCCAGAAAATCTGAGTTTCTGCAGTGGTTCATAAAGGGACATACATTCAGACAGGTAAACTGGGCCAGGGCCATTTAGAGCTTTATAGGCCAAAGCCAGCACTTTGAATTGTGCCCGGAAGCAAACAGGCAGCCAGAGCATCTGACGTAACATGGGAGTTGTGTGCTTCCTGTATGCTGCCCCAGTTATTAACCTGGCTGCCTCTCGTTGGACTATTTGAAGCTTCTGAACTGTCTTCAAAGGCAACCCCACGTAGAGTGTGTTACAGTAGTATTTCCCGGATGTAACAAGAGAGTGGACCACCTTGACCAAGTCTGACTTCCCAAGGTACGGGCGCAGCTGGCGCACAAGTTTTAATTGTGCGAAAGCCCCCCTAGCCACCGCTGCAACGTTCCAGGCTCAGCAATGGCCCATTGATAGTATACTTATGTAGAGGACACAAGTCATGACTGAATGCTTCCTACTCACACTTTATTGAGCCCAGGTCATTGTGTTTGAGGAATTACTTTTGAATTTCATTCTAGTCTTAATATAATTCTGACATGATTTGAATTTGTTATGTTGTAGGTATAAAAATCCTTCCTTGCTATCACATTCAGTTCAATTAATAGATTGTGACTTCAGTTGGAACTGTATTTTATTTTTAAAAACAGCAGACAAAATCCATGTTTATGCCTATCTGTTTTTTCCCCTACTGTAACAGACTTCTGGAAGTCTTTGAAGTATGATCAGTTGGTTTAGAATATGCTCCCCAGTATGTTACAGTTTCAGTCTTCTCTAACGTAATTGTTTCATTTTGATCTTTAGTCCCCCTTTCTACTTGTACTGCTAAAAGATTTAAGAATTTTAAAGTTAAAAGTATTGCTAAATATGAAAGAATACAGTTGTACACTACCAGGGCCGTAGCCAGAAAAATTTTTGGAGGGTTGAAAATTTCGGGAGGGGTTTTGAAAATTGGAGGGGGGGGTTGAAACCTGCCTCCTAGCTCATGCCAAAGCAAAGAGCACAGCAGGGGGCAGAGCAGCCTTCAATAGCCTGCAGCTCCGCCCCTGTCAACCACCTCCACCAAGTCTGGCCTCCTTAATGAGAGCATTCAACAACCCCCCCCCCAACTTGGTTGCTTCGCTACATCGGCTATTGCAAGTAATGACAGTGTGAATAAATTGTCATATTTGCTTGAGATAGTGCTTGCAGTTCTGAAGGGACTCTTAATTTTTTGCGTCTCATAGACTTAGCATGGGGATTTGGTTAACCAGTTAAAATTCATGAGTAAACCATTTTTTTAACCTGAAATTGGGGGGGGGGTTGAACCCCTAACACCCGGCCTGTACACTACTTTGTAGCTACAGAATCTCAATGCTGTGTGTTCATCTTGTGTTCAATTGTGGATGAGGAACCTGGATGACCTGGTAGAAATGTGGAGTTGTGCAAACCGAGAAATCACTTGTTCTTTGTCAGTCTTCTTCTCCTGTTAACATTAATGTAATGGCAGTAAGATAGTTTTCATACAAAGAAACTCTGAGGTAGAATGCTAAGCAAAAAGGTTGCACTATCAAGTATATCCTCCACAAATTTTCTGCAATATTTCCTCATAAAATCACACAGTTTTCATGTTAATAACTAGGAGTTATTGTTCTATGACCTTTCTGTAGCATTGTGAAACTGCCACAATGGTGTGATGAAATAAATAGGAAGCTTTATGTTAGTATTTCGCTCTTGTATGCCACACTTCCGTCCTCTTGCTCTCCTCCATCTCTTTTCTCCCATGTCTTCTTTATTCTGTAGATTCAGATCCAGGACATACAAATGAAAGCTGGGGGGAGAGATTAATATCTACTTACAGGACATATTCAGGTAAATTGATTATTGGGTGTACTTTCTATAGTTACATTTTATTTTAATATTTTTATGCTGCAACCATAGTTGTTGGTTCTTTTTTTCTGTGCTATTGAACTGTTTTAAAGTAACTTCCACTTAATAAAGCAGTAGTATGTGTCATCATACAATGGGGAACCCAAAGTATACAAGAATAAAATTTGTTCCTTCTGTTGACATTTATTCTATGATAAATAAATAAATACATGTAGTGGAAGGTAAGAGTTATGGTGCACTACCAACTTATTTAGAAAAAAATCTTTCTGTACTGACCGCAGTTAGAATGCTAAACAGAAAAATAAGGCACAGCACATAATATACAAGAGTAAATAAACATCTTAATGTTTATTTACTCTTATATATTATTATGCTATTTAACAATTTTCTGTGCAACACCAAATTGAGTGATCCTAAATGAGATTACCAAAGAGATTTACCATAGGAATGGCTAGAATGATGGAACGGTTGAGGATTTGAATAAGACATAGTTTTTATAATTTTTATTATTTATTGATTTTATGGTTTTTAAATGTATTGTGATGTTTTTGCTTTTTATTGATGTATGTATTGTTATATATGGCATCTAATTGTTGCTGACTTGTGCGCCAGCCTGAGTCGCCTTCAGGATGATATGGGTGGGATACAAATGTTGTAAATAAATAAATCTTATCCCAAGCCTTGCTGGTTCATGCCTGCTGGTTTCTGAGTGGTGCTTCAGCCTGACAGTTTGTAGTCTTATATATTTTCTCAATTAGAATCAGTAAGCAAGGAATAACTCCACCACCTTCAAACCGCTATAGCGTAGTTAGGGGAAGCAATCTGGGCCCCTTTTGACAGAATGTAGTGAATTCAACCTGGTCTTTCTTTGTCCAGCCCTACTCCCAAAATGCTCTTTTTCTGCTACCAGAAATAAGACTTCCCGCTGCAGAATGTTCCATGAACAGAACTGGCATAGTACTTTCTCACCTTGCAGTGGGACTGGTCTTTCTTACTCTAACCCAGACATGGGCAAAATTTGGCCCTCCAGGTGTTTTGAACTTCAACTCCCACAATTCGCTATTCGGAATTGTGGGAGTTGAATTCTAAAACATCTGGAGAGCTGAATTTGCCCATACCTGCTCTAGTCCCTGTAGCTACAAGATATATGAGTCTCCTTTGTAAGATCATTTTTAAAGTATTCCTTATCCATCCAGTATTGGATATATATATATACAGCAGGTGTCTGAAAAACAATCTAAAGCGTTGAGTTTGAACTGTGCTAAGTTTTTAAGTCATCTAAAAGAACAGTTAAATTTATCAAGCAAGATACTTTTATTATAAAAATAACAGCTTACCAACATCAAATCATGCCAAACATATTTGTACATCATTTTTATGGAACTGCAAAGATATGTGTGCAAAGGGAAATCATTAATCAAAGCTTGTCACTTACTTTTTATACTGATGTTAAATTAATCATTTTACATACATAAACATAGGTATATATTGTGCAACTGGGGTTTTCAGTGTTACTTGCCTTTAAAGAAGAATTAAGCAAAGAACACAATAAACAGCTATTATTTTGCTTAATTGAAAATGAAAGTTGTAGTGAAAAAGATGTTTTAGACAAAATGGAACTATGAGATAGTGAAAATTTTAATACGTTTATAGCATAACCTTTTTATAAAATAATTGTCTGCTTAATAGAAATGCATAATTACATACACAATTATTTTACTCTCGGGGGGGGGGGGGGAATCTTCATTGTGTGACCATCAAGCCTTGAACCTGTAAATAGATGGAGAGGAATTTGGAGAATTGTGTCATAGTAAGAAGAATAGTTGATTAGAATAGATGCAGGGCACATTTACATTTTCTCTTACATTCTTTGGTGTGTCACCAGTAATTCTCTTGATCACACACTTCTCTTGTACTTTTTCCCAAAAGAGCAATTTGGAAACCATTCAACTTTGTTATTGAAAGGAAGTAATAAATAAGAGTTTAGGCCATTGTGTTGTTCACTTATGGGAAATACAGTATCATCGAATTTAGCAGAGTTTACTTCTAAGTAGACATGTACATAAATGCACCATCAGGGTATAGAATATAGGAAATACATTTTTGTCCTTACAATTATGTAATTTCAGGAAGAAATACTTATATAAGAAAAACAGTTTAGCACGTCTCATATCTCACTTCATCCCACATTGGGGAAGTTCACTATTGGCTCAAAGCCATTATTGCTTCTGGTTTGTTAGTTACAGTTGCACCTTAGCCAATAGGTTATATCAGGCATGGACAGACTTTGGTCCTCCAAGTGTTTTGGACTTCATCTCCCAGAAATCCCAGCCATCTTACTGGTTGTTAAGACGTGGGAATTGAAGTCCAAAACACTTGTAGGGCCAAAGTTTGTACATGCCTGGGGTTAGACCAAGGGTAGCCTGAAGGGTAGGCTATTGCAGTCAAGAGAGATGGTATGAACAGGTAAAAATTTGTTAATGGCAGGATCTGCTTGCCTACTTAAGTTGGGGTACTGACAATTCTTGAGGCAAGCGTGTGCTTAGAGGTATCTTAATTATGTCCATATGTGTGAATTCTGTGCTTTGTTGTGGTTGGTCAACTTGGGTCTAGTGAAAAACAAGCTTCAATTCTGCTAATTCCTGGATTAAGCAAAAAACAAAAACAAAACCCAACCTGCTTATTGGTGCCACACAATGAGTTCCAGTGCTTGTCAGGAATTTGAACCTGAGTGTCCACAACTGATGCCAACAATCTTGCCACTGTCACACTGACTCCGTTCTGCTAAGCAAAATGCTGTATTTCATCACATAATTGGTATTTTGTTCTTCCCTCGGTAATAGTCACACTCTTCTTAGTTCACTTGCCCAGGCCATAGTCAGAAAAAAATTTCGGGAGGGGTTGAAATTTGGGGGGGGGGTGAAAATTTCGCGGGGGGGGTTGAAACCTTCCTCCAAGCTCATGCTGAAGCAAAGAGTACAGCCGGGGGCAGAGCAGCCTTCAATAACCTGCAGCTCCGCCCCTGTCAACCACCTCCACCAAGTCTGGCCTCCTTAATGAGAGCATTCAACACTCCCCTCCCCCCAACTTGGTTGCTTCACTACATTGGCTATTGCTGCAAGTAATGACAGTGTGAATAAATTGTCAATATTTGCTTGAGATAGTGCTTGCAGTTCTGGGCTTTTTTTCGATAGAGTTACAAGCTGGGTAGATGCGGGGAATGCCGTGGATGTAGCGTACCTGGATTTCAGTAAGGCCTTTGACAAGGTCCCCCATGACCTTCTGGCAAACAAACTAGTCCAATGTGGGCTAGGCAAAACTACGGTGAGGTGGATCTGTAATTGGTTAAGTGGACGAACACAGAGAGTGCTCACTAATGCTTCCTCGTCATCTTGGAAAGAAGTGACAAGTGGAGTGCCGCAGGGTTCCGTCCTGGGCCCGGTCCTGTTCAACATCTTTATTAATGACTTAGATGAAGGGCTAGAAGGCATGATCATCAAGTTTGCAGACGACACCAATTTGGGAGGGATAGCCAATAGTCCAGAGGACAGGAGCAGAATTCAAAACGATCTTGACAGATTAGAGAGATGGGCCAAAACTAACAAAATGAAGTTCAACAGTGACAAATGCAAGATACTCCACTTTGGCAAAAAAAATGAAATGCAAAGATACAGAATGGGGGACGCCTGGCTCGAGAGCAGTACGTGTGAAAAAGATCTTGGAGTCCTCGTGGACAACAAGTTAAACATGAGCCAACAATGTGATGTGGCGGCAAAAAAAGCCAATGGGATTTTGGCCTGCATCAATTGGAGCATAGTGTCTAGATCTAAGGAAGTAATGCTACCCCTCTATTCTGCTTTGGTTAGACCACATCTGGAATATTGTGTCCAATTCTGGGCACCACAATTCAAGAGAGATATTGACAAGCTGGAATGTGTCCAGAGGAGGGCGACTAAAATGAACAAGGGTCTGGAGAACAAGCCCTATGAGGAGCGGCTTAAGGAAGCTGGGCATGTTTAGCCTGAAGAAGAGAAGGCTGAGAGGGGATATGATAGCCATGTATAAATATGTGAGAGGAAGCCACAGGGAGGAGGGAGCAAGCTTGTTTTCTGCTTCCTTGGAGACTAGGAGGTGGAACAATGGCTTCAAACTACAAGAAAGGAGATTCCATCTGAACATGAGGAAGAACTTCCTGACTGTGAGAGCTGTTTAGCAGTGGAACTCTCTGCCCCGGAGTGTGGTGGAGGCTCCTTCTTTGGAAGCTTTAAACAGAGGCTGGATGGCCATCTGTCAGGGGTGATTTGAATGCAATATTCCTGCTTCTTGGCAGGGGGTTGGACTGGATGGCCCATGAAGTCTCTTCCAACTCTTTGATTCTATGATTCTATGACTTAGCGTGGGGATTTGGTTAACCAGTTAAAATTCATGAGTAAACCAGTTTTTTTAAAAAAAAAAAAACCTGAAAAATTTCAGCCCCACACCCCCGGCTACAGGCCTGGGTGCAACTGCCTTTTTGGTGCTGTGGTGGTTGACTTGCTCCCACGGCAAATCAAGGGCAGGTGTGCCGGCCTCCGCCCACATGAATGCTGTCTTTTAGGGTGCAGCTGCATGGGTGGGTGACACTTTACATGCCCATGCGGCTGTCGCTTTTGAAGATGCAGCTACGTGGATGGGTGAAGCATCACCTTCTCATGGTACTGAGCCCTCATAGGGATTATTACTTGGTGAAAGAAACCCTTCAAAGGTCTCTGCATAATAGTCATACATCCCTTATCCCCAAAAAATTGAGCAGGGGGTTCATCTATTACACAGTGGAAGACAGTACTTTTGAGATAATACTTGTTGTACAGTACTTGTTTTTTTCTACCTGAAGAACCTGAAATTTTATACTTCATGTCAAATGTTAAATTTCTTCTATTTGTTGATTAGTGTTTTATCTGGAATAATTGACAACATTTTGCTGTTCTTATAAATCTGTGGGTATTTCCAGAGAAAGAAGTCCCAGAGAAGAAAAAAATGAAAAAAGAATCAGGAAGTAAGAAAGCAGCACCTGTTAGTATTCTTTTTGGTTACCCTCTATCAGAGCGCAAACAGATGGCCCTTCTTATGCAGATGACTGCCAGAGACAACAGTCCAGGTAATACAATTTTCTTTTCCTCTCCTTATACTCTTGAATCAGCACCAACTGATGAAATTATTAACTCTTTGTAAGAGTTTTTGGGGCTGAAAATCAGGGTATAAATACTCTAATTAAATAAATAAACTATATTTGTTCAGTGGGCACATATGTTCTCTCTCAAGCTCATTATTGTGTTTAGTTGGTTACATACCTGAAATTAGAAATGATCAGTGCTCAACTGATACTAGTAAAAGTTCCAAATTATATTCCTTGCATTTTCATAATGTACAGTTAATCCATTAAGCTTGTTTATGGAGAATCAGCCAAAGTAAAACTCATATATGCATAACAGGGCATAGTATTGTGACTTACCTATTTTTACTCGTTGGGTTTCAGTGTATGCAGGTTATAGTTTTATTCATGTTTGTTTTCTATTACAGTATGTTATAAAGGCTCCTAAACACTTTTTTCAGATTTGAAATCTGAAGAAAACGATTAAATCAGATATGACAGGAAATGCCATTATATAATTATGAACATTTGTGGAACAGTTCATTTTGGGTTTTTTCTCTAATAGTTACTATTAAGAAGTTTAGATTTAGCTGAAGCACATAAAGTTTATTTTGTATTGTCTATACAATATTTGCTCCAATGTGCAGCCTCAGCTGCTATCAAACAGCAGTGAATCCTAAACTCACTTGTTTTATGAATGCCTAGAAAAAAATTAAACCCGAAAATTGTTGTTATCTTGATTAGATGAATTAAAATTTTAAAATAATGTTTTGTTTAAAGACAAATACAATGCTGTTGCAATAATACAACAGAGAGTATATGTAGAACACACATATTTCTTGAACTGAGGTAAAAGAAATATTGCTAACACCAAATGCTGGTCAGGTTTTGCAAAAGTTTGATGCTATATCCTATTGTCATTATACTAACATTTTAGCACCAGAATTTCCCATATTAGCTATTCATAAAGAGGCATAAGTTGAAGTGTAGTCGCTGTCTCTCCTAATCTGGGTCCCTTCAGTGTCTGCTTTGTGTATGTGTCCCTGCTGTATTTTGTTTCTTTATTTTTATTTGTATGTGATAGAAGTATGACATTTTACAAATCAGCTTTAATTACAATATTTTATACTAGACCCCTCACATTAGATAGATAGATAGATAGATAGACAGACAGACAGACAGATAGATAGATGTGTTTGTGCATTTAAATAAATAAGTAAATGAGATGGTTGAAGATAGCTTTAGTTAAGGAATTTTATTCAGTATGACAGATCTACTTATTTTATGTTTTAACATTTATTTTGTAGATCCCAATTTAAATCATCCTTTACAGACAACACCAACACAAAAGAAAACACCAAGCTCTTCATCAAGACAAAAAGACAAAGTTAATAAAAGAAATGAACGAGGGGAGACTCCCTTACATACAGCAGCCATTAGAGGTGATATTAAACAAGTTAAAGAGTTAATCAGTCTAGGTGCAAATGTGAATGTGAAAGATTTTGCTGGTAAGTTTGACAAGTAGTTTATGAACTCTAGTGTGTCTTATAGTTAGTAAATTCATGAGACATTTTATCATGTGTCAAACCCTGTCCCAAATGTAACATTAATTTGCAATGTAAAATAAAGTGTGCTGTGAATGTCTGCTTCATTCCTAAATAGATTGGTTGGGTGATAGCAAGTCCTATACATTTCAGTAGAATTTTACATAGTGTCTTGATTGTTTATTGTTGTTGATTGTACTTTGAAGATGTTCTTACATTTTTTTTCAGCGATTGTAGAGAAAGTTATTTGGTTAAGTTTGTGCTTTTAAAAAAATCAAAAGCTCAAGTTGAAGAACACTGTAATGAACAGCTTCCTGAATAGGGATATAACTGGACACACCTTGGTTTGATAGCAGTTTTTATTCAGTCTGTAAAACAACTACATTTTATTCAGGAGTTCAAGGTTTTCACATACTGTTGTAAATTCCAACACATGCTAATTGATGTAATATTCAAAGTAGGTTGTTGTAGGATTTTTCGGGCTGTATGGCCATGTTCTAGAAGCATTCTCTCCTGATGTTTCACCTGCATCTATAATTATAATATATTGTTTAAGAACACAGAAATGCTGGACCACTCTAACAACTACCATATCAGGCTACACAGAAAAGCCATTGAAATCCGCAAGCATTTGGACAATTTCAACAGAAAGGAAGAAACCATGAAAATGAACAAAATCTGGCTACCAGTATTTAAAAAAACTCTAAAATTATAACAGTAAATAAAGAAATAAAAACCTCAAACACTGGGGAACCCCAGACAAGAAACAATCAGGAACAGCTAATCACCTCTCAACAAAGGATTCCCCCAGGCAGGAACAAGCCACCTCTAAAAACTGTCAGGCCATCAAATGCCTGACCAATTCAATTGGTGTGAATTGAACCATTCACACCAAGCCCCAACAGACAAGAGTTCTTTCTCCCACCCTGGACTTTTCACAGCTATATAAACCCAATTTTCCTAGTTTTCAACAGGCCTCGACAATACAATATTCAACGTGATTCTTTCTTTTAAAAATACTGTGTGAACTGTGATGATGAGGAACCTGCAGCTTATCACAGGATCCTCATCACAGTATGCATATGTCTGTAATCACAGATGTTGATGAACTCAACTTTTCTTTGATGTTAATCAATGTGGGCAGTGGTGAGATATGATGAGATTTATAATTTAGCAATATTTGGAATGTATAGCATAATTTTTCCCTTGACATTTAGTTCGTAGTTTATTACCGGCTTTGTGTCCAAATAAAATGATGATGAGAAATAAGTAGCTATGACTATAAATTCCTGTTTTTATTAATAGAGTATAGCAATGGTTCTCAAAGTGTGCTCTGCAGAGCCCTTGGGACTCCATGAAGCATACTGAGGGGCTCCGTGCTTCCCTCCCCCTCCTGCCTCCTCCCCCCTTCAAAGCTTTCTCTCCCCTTTCCTGCTCCTCCCCCTCTCCCGCCTCTCTTGCTGCCAAAAGCCTTTTTCCTTAGCCTTCTTCCCCACCCAGATCCTTTTCCCCTTGCCTTCCTTGCTTCCCAAACCCAATTCCCTCCTGCTGCTCAGGGGGTGCTTTGATTGTACTTTTCCTACATGACAGAAAAAAATGGACTGGATGGCTCCTGGGTCTTCCACTGAAATACTGTAAAGTTTATGTTGGTTAAAATTATTCTTCAGTTTAAATATTGTATTCTTTCCTTTGGGGGGGGGGGGCGGGGAGCACTGCAAACAAAATATGTGCAGTGTGCATAGGAATTGGTTCCTTTTTTCCAACTAGTTCACACACTCTCCATCCACCATCCATCTCCCATCTGTCAAATTTTAAAATAATGTGTCAAAAATGTTGCCCATGCCTGGTATATATACAGCTATATAAATAAAAATGTAATGTTCGTTTGTGGGATTAACAGAACTCAAAAACCATTGGACGAATTGACACCAAATTTGGACACAAGACCCCTAACAACCCAATGTATGTCCTTCACTCAAAAAATTGATTTTGTCATTTGGGAGTTGTAGTTGCTGGGATTTATAGTTCAGCTACAATCAAAGAGCATTCTGAACTCCACCAATGATGGAATTGAACCAATAGAACTCCCATGACCAACAGAAAATACTAGAAGGGTTTGGTGAGCATTGACTTTGAGTCTGGGAGTTGTACTTTACCTACATCCAGAGAACACTTTGGACTCAGACAATGATGGATCTGGACCACAAATATTCCATATGCCCAAATATGAACACAGATGGAGTTTGGGGGAAATAGACATTCACATTTGGGAGTTGTAGTTACTGGGATTTATAGTTCACCTACAATCAAAGAGCATGCTGAACCCCACCAACGACAGAATTGGGGCAAAATTTCCACACAGAACCACCATACTTAAGGCCATCCAGTCCAACTCCCTTCACCAGGGCAAGAAAACGTAATCAAAGCCCTCCTGATGAAGAGCCATCCAGCTATATTATATATGATTCACACACACACACAGAGATATGGTATCATAGATTTGAAAGGGACCCCTAAAGAAGGACAATTATATGTTGCATGTTCCAGAGTAGGCAAACCAGGCACTCTCCACATCAACACTGACAAAGAAACAAGGAATACTGTTTACCCACAAGCATAAAGAAATTACATATATTAGAAACCATTACTTTATTTTCCATCAAAAATCATCCAGGCATCCCCTGGGCAACGTCCTTCCAGGCGGCCCATTCTCTCACACCAGAAGCGACTTGCTCCTGACACGACCAAAATAAAAAATAAAAAAAGAAATCCAGATCACCAGACTTGGCCACAGCAACATGTGGCGGGGGAACGGCTAGTTATATATAAACATTTCTTGGGGCCCCACGAGAAACTTTTGCTTCAAAAAGGGCTCTGCAGCTGAACAAGTTTGAGTTTGAGTAGAGGATAGCCGTGTGAATTGCAAAAGCTTAAAACAGAGCTTTCACTTTCAGTTGGATATCTTTAACTGCAATCGATGGACAAACATAATTTTGCCATCATATTCTGCTTGTACATTTTTTTTTTTGCATGTTCCACTTGCCATTGATAGAATGCTACATTAAACAAACTATTTGGTCTGTTCAACGAGCTAATACATATGCCTCTAAAACAGGCATGGCAAACTTCAACCTTCTGGGTGTTTTGGACTTCCACAGTTCCTAACAGCCTGCTTTGGAAGATACTACTGGTAGTTATTATCATTCTTACCCACCACATGTTTATCTAAAGGATTCTTCTAGGCCTCCAAATTCATTTCCTAGGAGGTTCAGCAAGCTATAGCTAGAGGAGAAGAACTGGCACTAAATAACACGTTTGTAGAAGTGCTTCTGCTCATGCAAGCAGAGTTTGGGAAACAAAGTATGGCACCACTCCTGACAGAGGGAAAGAAGCTGAAACATGAAAAACTTGCATGAGAGATAAAACAGCCCCACAGTAAGCACTATTGTACCTAAAAGCCAAGATACATTTCTTCCCTGGAAGGATTTCTTAATAAGTCAATAAAAACCATCTCAGGTGGCTATTTGTACTGCTGCTCTTTAGTTGAACTGAAGTTGTTGCTTAAAATGTTACTTTGCAAATTCACAACCTTAACTTGTATTGTGTGTATGTGCGTCTCTCTCCCTCTCCCTCTCCCCCCCCTCTCTCTAATATATATAACATTTATCATACATGAGAAAAACCTGTGTTCCCAGAGACACACAAAAATTCATTTCAAATTAATATTAAAATGTATTACAGTCTTTACAAAACAACAGAAAAAAGTATCTAAAATGTAAGAAAATTGCAAGCTTTATAATTAGGTGTAATTATTTGTTTTTGTTTTTTGAGGTAAAAACTTTCCTTAATGTGAGAAATTTGTTTTTAAAATATTTAGATCAAATACTGAACAGGTTATGGTAAAAATACTAAAACAAAAATCAATTGGCCTCTCTTTTGACAGGTTGGACACCACTCCATGAAGCATGTAACGCTGGTTATTATGATGTTGCTAAGGTCTTGATAGCAGCAGGGGCCGATGTAAATACTCAAGGACTAGATGACGATACACCACTGCATGATTCTGCAAGCAGTGGGCACAGAAAGGTATTTACCATGTAGGCAATAAATAAAATAATACTTCATGTATAAGTGTAATGATCAATTGTCATTAAACATAGTCTAACAGGTTCTATTTCAGTACTAGATTGTTCTCTAAAATCATTGAACAATTCTGTTATAAAAGTTTCACCTCTTTTTGATGCTTAATGCTGTATTTTTATCAACGGTCTATTCTAAAACAGTCATACACAGTGGACTGTTTGCAAATATGTGTGTGCTGATTTCAGTACTGCTCACTATCCTTTTTATTTATATAGGGTCCCTAAGTGTACATGATATCTTAAATAATAAGAACATAATAAAGATAGATCCCTGATTCCAATACACTATCCAATCTGTTTTTATGTGTTGATTGTGAAAGATTTATATACATCATGTTTCAGATTGTAAAGCTGCTTCTCCGACATGGTGGAAATCCATTTCAGGCCAATAAACATGGAGAAAGACCTGTTGATGTAGCAGATACAGAAGAACTGGAACTATTATTGAAAAGAGAAGTTCCAATTTCTGATGATGAAGATGATTGTTCAGGTAAGCAAAAATGACTCATTATCTTTACATTGTTGTAAACTTTAAATATAGGACCAGGTCACAAAGCCTAAGTCAGGACTATATTGTTCCATAACACTCAGTAATTCCTACTGAGTGTTTTGGAACAAAATAAATGAACTATAATCTGAGGTACATTGAAAATAAGCAAAATGTGAATCTAAAACAATATTGTTGTTGTTATTACTGAAAAGTCAACTTCAGCTTATGGTGAACTATGAATTATAGACTCCCAAGTCACATTATTATCAAAAGCCCCTCTCATGTCTTGCAGATTCAGGGCTGTGGTTTCCTTAATTTTTTAAAAATTTTAAACAAAGAGGAAAAACGGCGATATACATTTACAAACAGAACATGCAACATACAGAGACAGTAACAAACACAGCAGACAATACATTCCCTCCTTCCCTACACCTGTGGACTTCCATCCCTGCTCACTATGATATCTATATCCTATAATGCCTTCCCATGTAAGTTCCTTAAATAGTTCCCCTTGCAGCATCCTTAAAGTCAACTTTTGCTTTCTTTCCAATATATGTGAAGGCCAGCCACCATTTGTTTACAAATATTTCATTATTTTTACCTCGAAGTCCATTAAACAGCTTGACCATTTGTCTATTCATCTATTCAATCTATTCATTTCTCTCTCCAATCTCTTTTGAGTAGTTCCCTTTCTCCTGTGATTTTGCTATAACCATTCTTGTTGCAACAAAGCTGTATTGGCATATTTCTTTATCTTCCTGGTTAATATCCTCTCTGAATCAACCAAGAAGGCACACTGCTGGGCTTTTCTTGACCTTATTGGTGAGCATGTTATTTGTTTCCATAACTAGCCCTTTCCAAAATTGTAATACTATCAGCCATGACCACCAGACATGGAAAAAAGTACCCTTCTGTTTTTTTTTACATCTCCAGCAATCCCCTATGTGGGTTTTGTCCATTTTAGCTAATAACTGTGGCGTTACATCGCTTCTGTAAAACATTTGTATAAGTTCTCTCTAATGGACCCTGCTACTGAGAATTTAAATCCTTTTTTTCCAGAGATACTCCCGTTCTCTAATTCTATTTCCCCCCAAGTCTCTGGCCTAAGAAATCATGACAGGTTTTATTCTATGATCTTCTAGATTATATTCTAGAATGAATTGGTATAACCTGGAGAGTAAGCCCTTATTTCCCATATCGAAAAACACTCCAACTTAGATTTCTTTTTCTCGCATTGTACTCGCATTTTTTGTAAATCAGTTGTATAGTTGATAAAACTGAAACCAATTGTTAATACTTAGTTCATCTCTTCTTTTTGGTTCCAATGATATTTTTCTTTAAATAAATATTCCCTATAAGATCTTATTTAATCTTTGGTTCTTGGCCTTAGGACTGTTTCTAATAGGTGAAACCATAATTGAGTTTTCTGTACCATCCCTCCTTTATATCTATTCCATATTATAAGCAAATTTGGTCTTATTATATGGTTATTAATGTCTTTGTTTAACTTATCCTTTTTGTACCAGAGATAGGCGTGCCATCGAAAACTAAGGTTGTGACCCTCTAAGTTAAGAAGAGGGTGGTTCTCTAATTTTATCCATTCTTTTAGCCAACTAAAGTCTGCTGCTTCATAATAATGTCTTAAGATCCAATAAGGCCAGCCTCTTCTGTCTTTTGCGTCTGTCAAATTTCTAGGTACAATTCTGGCTTTTTTTACCTGCTCATATGAAATTAACTAGATCCTTCCTCTATTGTTCAAAAGTCCTTACTCCTTTAATAATTGGTAAATTTTGGAATGCAAATAACATTTTTCATAATACCATTATTTTAATTACTGCTATCCTCCCTGTCCAGGTTAGTTGGATTCTTTGTCACCTATTTAAGTCCTTTTTAACCTCTTTTCAGGCCCTCTCATAGTTATTCTGCTTTAAATAAATATTTTTTTTTGTTAACCATATGCCTGAATACTTTCTTTTGACACCATCTTACATGCTGATAGTTTCTCTGATTCATCAATATTTTTGTTGGGAAGTTTTTAGTTAGAAACATAGATCTTTCTTTGTTAATTCCAGATCCCGAATTGAGCCTATATTTATTGATTATCTCCATTAGCATCTGTATTCTCTGTATTGGGTATTCTCTGTATTGGGTCTCCTAAAATACAAATCATATTGTCTGCATAGGCTTTGATTTTAAATTCATGCCCTTTTATAGTCACTCCTTACATACTGTTATCTTCTCTTATTCTGATGTTTAATATTTCTAACATCAGTATAAAGGGTGATGGGGACAGCCTTATCTGGTTTCAATGCTGTTGGACAACTGGCCATTAAGCCTTAGTCTAGCTCTTTGTTGGGAGTAAATAGCCCTCACTGCCTTCTTAAATTGTGGGTCAGCCCCAAACCTTCCCAGCACTTTTTGTATAAATTCCCAACTTACCTTTTCTGTATCTAAAAATAATAACACGATATGTCTATTTGGGTCTTGTTCGGCAACCTCTAATACAGTGTTTCTCAACCTTCCTAATGCCACGACCCCTTAATACAGTTCCTCATGTTGTGGTGACCCCCCAACCTTAAGTTATTTTCGTTGCTACTTCATAACTGTGATTTTGCTACTGTTAGGAATCATAATGTAAATATCTGATATGCAGGATGTATTTTCATTCACTGGACCAAATTTGGCACAAATACCCGATACGCTGAAATATGAATACTAGTGGGATTGGGGGGGGGGTGGGTTGATTTTGTCATTTGGGAGTTGTGGTTGCTGAGATTTATAGTTAACCTACAATCAAAGAGCATTCTGAACTTCATCAACGATGGAATTGAACCAAACTTGGCACACAGAACTCCCATGACTGACAGAAAATACTGGAAGGGCTTGGTGAGCATTGACCTTGAGCTTTGGAATTGTAGTTCATGTACATCCAAAGCACTGTGGACTAAAACAATGATAGATCTGGACCAAACTTGGCACAAATACTCAATATGTCCAAATGTGAACACTGGTGGGGTCTGGGGAAAATAGACATTGACATTTGGGAGTTGTAGTTCCTGGGATTTTATAGTTCACCTACAATCAAAGAGAATTCTGAACCCCACCAACGATAGAATTGGGCCAGACTTCCCACACAGAACCCCCATGACCAACAGAAAATACTGTGTTTTCTGATGGTATTTGGTGCCCCCTCTGACACTCCCTCGCAACAATCCCCCCAGGGTCCCGACTCCCAGATTGAGAAATGCTGCTCTAATATATTTAGAACCGTCCTCACATTTTGATTTAGCTGTCTTCCAGGGAGAATTCCTACTTGATCTTCATGTATTATTTTAACTAAGATATAGTTCAGTCTGTTTGCAAGAATATCCGCAAATAGTTTTTCGGTGTTCTGTATCTCTATCTTGTTTGGGAATAAGGACTACGTATGGTAGTGTGTGCCCATGAATCTGGAAATTCTCCTTTCTGTAGACTGTGGTTCATGACTGCTAATAGTAATGGGGCCAGTTCTTCTTTATATAGCTTATAATATCCAGCAGAGACTCCATCTAGGCCTGGAGCTTTGCTTACTTTGGATTTAACTATTGCTTTAGTGAGCTCATCCATTATAATCGGTCTGTAGTATCCAGATATTTGTTCATTTCCTCAGTAAATTTTTGGGATATTCATTTCGTCTTAAGTATTGATCAGTTCCCCTGTGTCAGTCTGGATCCTTTTGTAAAGATTCTTACAGTAATTTTTAAAAAATCAAATTTGTTTCATATCTGTGTTTATTTCTCCTTTATCTCTTATCCATACAGCAAATTGCCTATTCTTGTTCTCTTTCAGCTCCCACACCAGCAATTTCCCTGGTTGGGTGTTTTGTTTGTTTGTTTGTTTTTGTTTTTTGCATTTTCAAACAAATTGTATTTATTGTACATCATTCCTTCAATCTCATTCACAATTAACAGTTCTCATTGTTACTGTAGCCATGTCAGATCTTGGTGTATTACATTCCTATCAAACTTGCCTTTCTCCAATTCTTTTTCTTTTACCTTGGTTAGGATTTCTGCTTGTGCTTTCTTTTTCCCTTTGAACCAAATGCAGTTTTGTTGGATCAGTAACCTTCTTACTACCAGTTTCCCAGTTTCCTAAATAACCTTATCAGAAATGCCATCTTTTTGTTATCTTTCAGATAGTTTTGTATACCATCTTTCATCTTGTCCTTGATTTTGGGATCTTTCAGCATATATTCATTTATCTTCCAGGATATTCTCTCCCACTGACCCCATTTTATCTTTAACATAACTGGATTGTGGTCTGACAACACCCTAGGTAGTAATTCCGCGTTTACTGAATTCATTATCAACTTCTTTGTGGCAAAGATATAGTCAATCCTTGATGAGATGCCATATATATGTGAATAATGAGAATATTCTTTTCTATTTAGATTCTGTAATCTCCATGTATCATATAATTCCCATTGAGGGAGTTCCCCCAGCAGCGAATCTGGGAGTCTGCCTTCCCTTTTGTCCTTTTTCATTTTACAGTTCCTATCTAATTTAGGATCCATTACCCCATTAAAGTCTCCCATCCAGATCATTTCTTTTCCCCCACACTCTGCTAATATGGGTGATAGGTTTTTTAAAAAGTATCCTTTGTTTTACATTGGGGCAAAAATTCCAACGAATACTACCATTTTATACTGAATTTGGGAGCCCCCAGTGGCGCAGTGGGTTAAACCGCTGAGCTGCTGAGCTTGTTGACTGAAAGGTCACAGGTTCAAATCTGGAGAGCGGTGTGAGCTTCCTCTGTCAGCCCCTGCTTCTTCCAACCTACCACTTCAAAAACATGCAAATGTGAGATCAATAGGTACCACTCCGGCGAGAAGGTAATAGTGCTCCATGCAGTCATGCCGGCCAGATGACCATGGAGGTGTCTATGGACAACGTTGGCTCTTCAGATTAGAATGGAGATGAGCACTAACCCCCAGAGTCAGACAGGACTGGACTTAATATCAGGGGACAACCTTTACCTATACTGAATTTTTATCTTAACTATTAGGATCCTTCTAGTCCTCATACACTTTGTCTGATGCCAAACATCTATTGACATATTACAAAACCCCATTAGTTTTCTTAAAGTTGCAGACAGAGCATATCTGTCTTGTTTTAAAAGGTGGCTGTCTTTTCCCTTTGCGAATTCCTGTAGGCATGCAATATCAACTTTAGCTTTGTGCAGAAAGTGAAACACCCTCTTTCTTCTAATTCAATTGTTCGAGTCATATATTAATGTTCCAAGAAATAATTTATAGCCTTTGTAATTTCATTTAGAGGCTGTCCCCTCTCCCACATTTTAGCAAATCAGAATACATTAAGTCCTTTACAAGTTGGGTCCCTCTCCCACTTCTTCTTCCTCCTTCTCCTCCTGATGTTTCCGTTCCTCTCCCCCATCTTATAAATTAATAATAATATAAATAATTTTTATTTGTATTCCTGGGGGGATTCAGGGTGGATTTCAACAAAAATGGCTAACATTCAATGCCATAGTATGTTCATAAATACAAGTACATAGTATGTTCATAAATACAAGTACAAATACAAGAACTTACTTCTTTTGTGGTTTCCTTGATTGAGTTTGTTCACCTGTGATACAGTCTTACTGTATCTTACTGTTTCTTACTGCCTTTTATCTTGACAAGCATTACTGTCTTTTCTCATGAGACCCAACACAAAATATGATTCAAGAATTTGAACTTCTATCCTTAACAGCAAAAAATGAACATCACTGTAATTTTTACAATTCTTTTTTTTCCAGATCTTGAAGAGACACCATCTGTAAATCCCTCCAGTATAGATGGAAATATGGATTCTGAGACAGAGAAAGAATCTCTTGTCAATGACACAAAACACATTCCTATTAAGGCACCACTTTCATCGGCTTTAGATGAATATGAGTTTAAAGATGATGAAGAAGACGAAGTTAAGAAAATTATTGATGATAGACACATACCCAGGAAAGAGCTGAGAAAAGAAGATGAGTCTGAAGTAGAGCAAAGTAGTGTATTTCCTAAACAGGAAAAAGTGTCATTTCAGAAATCTTTGAAAAATAAAAAACAGCCCTCTAGAGTTTTGTATTCAAGTTCTGAAAGTTCAGATGAAGATATTCCTCAAGACAAAAAGACCATTTCTTCCTCCTGTACTGTTACAGAGACATCAAGTTCTGACACAAAGATTAAAAAAGAATATGTTTTCAATGAACATAAACAAAAAGGAAAAGTTAAAAGAAAAGTAAAAAATCAGAGCAAAAATAAAGAAAACCAGCAATTAAAACTAGAAAAAGATAATTCCAGAGGAACAATTTCGGGAGGCTCTGTCTTAGAATCTTTTGAAAAAAGTAGAGAAGAAGAGAATTTTAGAAAATCATTCAGTTCCAAAGAGGATTCTTCTTTGCCCTTACTCCATATTACTGCTAGCAGATCCCCCAAGCATCCATGTGGGTTAATTGAAAAGCAGCCAACACCTCTTAAACAAGAGAATATTAAAATGTGTTTATCCCCAAGTGGGTCAGAAGTGACATCACAATCTGATTTGGTTCGATGCGATCATAATATAGATGCTGAGTTTCTCCCAGAAAGCTGCAGTGGCAAACCCTACAAAAATAAAGACAAAAGTAAACATCAGAAAGAAAGTCTTTCAGAGTTTGGTGACAAATCCAGTCCCAAACATAAAGAGGAAGATAATAGTCCGTCATGTGAAAGCTCTGAATGTATGATGAAAAAAGTTGATAAGGAGGGGAAAATATATAAAAAACATAAGCTGAAACATAAAGAAAGGGAAAAGGACAAGCACAAAAAAGAGCAGGATGGGGAGAAGGAAAAACACAAGCATAAGGAGAGTGCTAGGGAGAGCCAAAGAAATGTTGAATTTGACAGAGAATTTTGGAAAGAGAACTTTTTTAAAAGTGATGAAGCAGAAGATATATCAAATTTGGACCATGAATCTCCCATTTCAGAAAAAAAATCCAAACTGGAAAAAGTTCTGACAAAAGATGACAAACATGTGAAAGATAAAAAGTTGCAAAAAGAGAAAACTTTCAGAGAGGAGAGGGAAAAGGACAAGAATAAAAAAGAAAATGAAAAGGAAGAGAAAGCAAAAGATGTTAAGGAAGAAAAAGAAAGCATATTCTCTGACAAAGAAACAGAACTGTTGTGTTTAGGTGTTAGGGATATATCAACAAGTATATTTTCAGTAGAGAAAGAAACAGAGTTTGAGAAACAAGAAAAAACTACAAAGGAACATAGAGAAAAATTAGAGAAACGGAACTCTGCTAATGAAAAGGTAGAGAGAAAAAACCTCGAAAAAGAGAAAAAAAGTAAATGTGAGCAAAAATCAGAAAAAGACAATTCAGAATTTGTTGAAAATATTGAAAAGACAAAAGAAAAAGAAAAGTTATATATTCATCAAACAGAAAAATCTCATAAAGAAAATGACAAGCTAAAAAACTTTAATGCCAATAAAAAGCTTGATGAAAAAGAAAAAGGCAAGGAAAAATCAGACAAGAAGCATGAGAAAGAAAAAAATGATAGGCACTTATCCGAATGTAAAGAAAAGTCATGTAATGAAAGGAAAGCAAAGGTGTTTGAAAAGGAAAGTGAATATTCAAAGATGGAAAAAGGAAAAAATAAAGAAAAGGAAGCTGAGAAAAAAGACAGATCCAAAGAACGAGACAGTTCCATTTCAAATATAAAACATGCATCAGAAGAAAGGAAATGTAATACTGAAAAAACATTATCATTCAAAGAGAAACCCAAAGATGAATTACTAAAAACTCCAGATGGAAGAGAAAAGGATAAAAAAGATAAAGATATTGACAGATATAAAGAACGTGATAAGCATAAAGATAAAATGCAGCAAAATAACGTACTTAAGCTAAAACTTGAAATGGAAAAGTTTAAGTCTAAAACAGCACCTGCACCTAAAGATACTCGACCTAAAGAAAAGAGATTATTAAATGATGATTTGATGCAGACAAGCTTTGAAAGAATGCTTAGCCTCAAAGATTTGGAAATTGAACAGTGGCATAAAAAACATAAAGAAAAAATAAAACAGAAAGAAAAAGAGCGATTAAAGAATCGATCCTGTTCTGAACTTAACAAAATTAAAGATAAGGAAAAAACAAAACATTCACTTGCTGAAACAAAAAGCAAAGAACTGATTCGTTCAAAAAGCTCGGAGTTGTCAGATGCTTGTGTGAAGGATAAGTTGCTGAAAGATGCTGCAAGTATCAGGTCACAGTCTGTTGACACAAAGAACTTACCAGCTGGTGGAAAGCCATTAGTACTATTGGACAATAACCTAAATAGATCCCCTAGATCAGAAAATGAAAAGATCGGGTTAACATCCAGATCAGTTTCCATGATTTCAGTTGCTAGCTCAGAGGATTCTTGCCATACTACTGTGACTCCACCAAGACCTCTAACTGAATATGATTCAGACTTTATGCTTGAAGGATCTGACTCACAAATGTCTTTTTCACATTCACCATTTTTACCTAGTGCCAAGTCACCTGCATATCATGAAACCGATAGTTTATCAGAGCTTCCAGAGCGCAATAAACCTCCTGTTTCAAATAGAATTCCACCAACTTACGTTAGATCAGCATCGGTTGAAGATGTTAAATTTGTTCTAAATGATTGCAGAGCAGTTGTAGAAGTACGACGATGCAGTATGCCAACTGCTTATGAATACACTAAACAGTCTCGGGTTTCAGATGAAAATAATCACAGTGCTTTGCTCTCAATTCAGAGTCATAGTTGTTCTCCTATACATGAATCCCAGTGCTGTAATTTGCTTGAAAAGGACTCCCAAAATACTGTGTCAAGTTTATATTCTGGCCCTGCGTCATCTCCAACAAGACCTATTAGTAACAAATCTAATGCATCAGATGTAGTTGTTAAAAGTGCTGCTTTGTTGATCCCATCAGGAGAAAGTCATATACCTTTAGAACAAGGTAATCAGAATACTGTGACTCTGGCAAGTAAACCATGGGGTGTAGCTTTGGATAGGCTTAACCCTTCAAACAGTGAATGCACCTGTTATGAACAAGATGTCACAATTGCCCCAGCTACACATCATTCTGAGAATAAAATCATGAAAGAGCAGAAAAGTTCTGAACCTTATCATCATCAGACTGAAAGCACAGTAAATGTAATGTCACAAGAATCAGTAGCATTTTTGCCTCTCCAACCCTCTTGCCCATCTCAGATTCATCCTGTTCCTGATTCAGTGGGTGGATCAAAGCATGCATCTTCACCAGATATTAGTCAAGAGGCACTACCTGTAAAGCACCAACAAAGTGCCATTCAAGCAACCAATGCAAGCTTAGATGTAGATCCTAACAGTAAAAAGAAGATAGAAAAAAATGTCTTCTCAAACAATAAAAAGACTGATGTGCTCATCACTGTATATCCTGAAAGTTTTACTAAGGATATTAGATCAAATTTTGAAAAGGATTTTACTGTAACTGATCCTCACATACATCCTAATGGAAGTTCATCTGTTGTTAGTAAACTCATTTATAAGACATCACAAGCGGATGAACTAGATAACAGATTGAGTGATGTTCAGGTTCAAGGAGAAAAAGCCCATTCTGATGGCCTTTGTTTGTCCCATATGACCAGTAATAAAAATGATGTAGATTCACAGGACTTGCATGCCAGAGCATTGAAAGGTATTGTAACTGACTATAATAGAAAGCTTTTCAACACAGACAACACAGAAAACAGCTTTGTAGAAGAAAACTTGCAGCAGTGCCTTTCACGTTGTTTGGAAAACCATTCACAGTTATCCGGACATGAAATCCATAAATACGGTCCAGCAATTAAGGCAGAGTTGGAGGAAGCAATAGAAGACCATAAAGCACAACAGTATGAAGTTCCTCAAAGAATTACAAGGAACCGAGCAAATATGCTTGCTAACCAGACTAAGCAGAATCTTGCTGGGTGTCCTCAGATATCAGAAAGAGATTCTGAATCATCTGCCTCTATAAAAGGAAGGATACGGCTAACTGAAGAAGATGATCCTCAGGCACATCATCCACGTAAAAGAAAACTGTCACGTGTTCCTCAGCCTGTGCAAGTAAATCCATCTTTAATGCAAGCTAAGGAAAAAACTCATCAATCCCTGGCAGCTATTGTTGATGCTCTAAAACTTGAAGAAATTCAGCCATACAGTTCGGAGAGAGCAAATCCATACTTTGAGTACTTGCACATAAGGAAGAAAATAGAAGAGAAACGCAAGTTACTATGTAGCGTTATTCCTCAGGCGCCTCAGTACTATGATGAATATGTGACCTTCAATGGATCATACCTCTTAGATGGCAATCCTTTGAGCAAGATATGCATTCCAACTGTAAGTAACTGAAAACTAAAATTATAACAAAACTACATATTCTCAGTAACACCAAAACTGTTTGTTTTGTTTTAATTTAAGCCAATAAGGAGACATTTGTTATTCTATCCTGTAAAGATACAACATACAATAATGTTTTACTTTTTGCTTAGTTGGTGTAGGTAATTTCTATGGGTAAATTTTTTTTTTTTGCATTTGGTGGAAATGAAAGGGAGTAATGGCACTGGAAAATAATTATACTTCATTTTTTGCATTAAATTAATAATTGCAAAAACATAATAAATTATACGCAATTAATGTAATCTCTATTAGTTTGTTTTCCACATCTTTTTCAAGCTAACATTTATTTATACAATTGGGAAAATCTGTGAAAGGATGTGTTGGTCCCAACCTTTGCCAGTTGCTAGTAGACATAAGAAGATGAGTCATAATGGGTTTTTACGAGCCCTGGTTAAGAAAGCAACTGTGTCTTCCGATTGCTTAGATTCAGTGATAGCTTTACCTCAGCTGCTTGCTAGTATAAATGCTTATCATGATGGAGAAAGTATTTTGCAGCTGGATACTTAAGACTGGAGAATGCTGTATTGTTTCCTTTCTTCAGGATCTCGTGTCCCTAGCTCACTATGCTCCTCAATTTATATTTGTAGTTTCTGAGGCAGACCAATCACTTCTCTCACATAATTATCAAACTTTGTTAAGATTTTTCTAATAGTAGGAAAAGTGAAAAGAAAGGGGTTGTAACAAAACTCAATAAAACTTTTAAAAAGTTTTGAAATGAAATCTGTTTGTTTACATTTGTAGTGAGAGAAAATGGAGAACCGTTGCTGCAATACTGAAAATGTTCCTTATTCTTTGACTACTACTGTCTGGGTTGCATTCACTTGTGATACTATACTGCAGTTTAATATTATTGTCAACATTATATTAGGGTATCATGTTCTGTATGTGGAACATATTTAATGTTGAGCCATATTTTAACACGGGAATTTATTTATTTATTTATTTATTTAGTACACTTGTATACCGCTAGTATCTCAGCCTAGAGCGGCGACTCACTGCGGTTTACAGCATTTAAAAACAACAATATTCAGATTAAAAATATAAAACACATACATATATAATACACAGTATTGGGCCACCAATACAGACCAATGCATCTCTTAAATGAAAATCATAATCCAATTCGTTGTCGGTAATTGCCTGTCCTTAATCAGAAACATCATCGCGTCGACTTAGCCGAACGCTTGCTCAAACATCCATGTCTTTAGTTTTTTCCGAAATATCATCAATGAGGAGGCTGATCTTATCTCTATAGGGAGGGCATTCCAAAGCCGCGGGGCCACCACAGAAAAGGCCCTATCTCTCGTTCCCGCCAACCGCACCTGTGAAGCAGGCGGGATAGAGAGAAGGGCCTCTCCCGAAGATCTTAGGGTCCTGGTGGGCTGATAGGCCGAGATACGTTCGGATAGATATGTTGGGCCAGAACCGTTTAGGGCTTTAAAGGCCAATGCCAGCACTTTGAATTGGGTCCGGTAGCTGATCGGCAGCCAGTGGAGCTGGTACAGCAGAGGAGTTGTATGCTCCCTGCGCCCTGCTCCTGTTAGTACCATGGCTGCCGCCCGTTGGACTAATTGGAGCTTCCGAGCCGTCTTCAAAGGCAACCCCACGTAGAGAGCGTTGCAGTAATCAAGGCGGGATGTAACCAGAGCATGGACTACCATGGCCAAGTCAGACTTCCCAAGGTACGGTCGCAGTTGGCGCACGAGTCTTAACTGTGCGAATGCTCCCCTGGTCACCGCTGAAACCTGGGGATCCAGGCTCAGCGATGAATCCAAGATCACACCCAAACTGCGAACCTGTGTCTTCAGGGGGAGTGCGACCCCGTCCAACACAGGCTGTAACCCTATACCCTGTTCGGCCTTATGACTGACCAGGAGTACCTCTGTCTTGTCTGGATTCAATTTCAATTTGTTCGCCCTCATCCAGACCGTCACAGCGGCCAAGCACCGGTTCAGGACCTCGACAGCCTCCTTAGTAGCAGGTGGAAGGAGTGACAGAGTTGGACATCATCTGCGTACAGATGACACCGCACCGAAACTCCGGATGATCTCGCCCAGCGGCTTCATGTAGATGTTAAACAACATGGGGACAGTATTGAACCTGAGGAACCCCACAAAACAAGGGTTGTGGGGTAGAACAGGAGTCCCCCAATAACACCTTCTGCGACCGACCCTCGAGGAATGACTGGAGCCACTGCAAAGCAGTACCTCCAAGGCCCATTCCCGCGAGGCGTCCCAGAAGGATACCGTGGTCGACGGTATCGAAGGCCGCTGAGAGGTCGAGTAGCACCAGCAGGGACACACTCCCCCTGTCGAGCTCCCGACGGAGATCATCCACTAAGGCGACCAAGGCTGTCTCGGTACCATGCCCCGGCCTAAAGCCAGACTGTGCCGGATCCAGATAATCCGTGTCTACCAAGAATGCCTGGAGTTGTGAGGCCACCACACGTTCCAGGACTTTGCCCAAAAAGGGGAGATTGGAAACAGGCCGAAAGTTGACGAATTGAGTGGGGTCCAGTGATGGTTTTTTCAACAGCGGTTTTATTACAGCTTGCTTTAAGCTGGCTGGAATTCCTTCCCGAAGGGAGGCATTAACCACCACCTTCACCCACTCGGCCAATCCCCCTCTGGCCTCCTTTAGAAGCCAGGATGGGCAGGGGTCTAGGATGCATGTGGTAGTTCTCATTCCTCCAAGCACCTTGTCCACATCCTCGGATTGAACCAATTGAAATGAATCCATCAAAATTGGACAAGCAGATGCTCGTGTTACATCCTCAGAGACTGCCGTTAATATGGTATCCAGACCAGAGCGGATCAAAGCGACTTTGCCTGCAAAGAACTGAGCAAAGGCTTCACAGCGAGCTGCCGAGTCATCAGGGCACCCATCCTGCATGGTGGGTTTTAACAGGCCTCTGACAACTCGGAACAGTTCAGCCGGACGGTTCTTTGCAGACGCAATAGTGGCCGCAAAGAAAGTTTTCTTTGCGGCTTTTATTGCCGCGGCATATGCCCTTAAAAAGGACACAAACCGTGTTCGATTTGGCTCGCTCGGATCCGAACGCCACACGCCCTCTAGTTCCCTCTTCTTTCGCTTCAACGCTGCCAGCTCCTCAGTAAACCAAGGGGCTGGTTTAGTTCGGCTACTTGAGAGGGGACGTTCTGGAGCGATCGTGTCTATTGCCCTAGTCATCTCCCCATTCCAGAGAGCGACCAGGGCATCGGCAGGATCACCAACCGAGGTGGCGGGGAATTCCCCAAGAGCCATCAGGAATCCATCCGGATCCATAAGCCTCCTGGGGCGGACCAGCTTAATGGGTCCTCCACCTCTGCGGAGGTTAGGGGGTACAGTAAGTCTAAAGCTGACCAGGTGGTGGTCGGTCCATGGCAACGGAGAGATGGATAACTCCTCAACACCGCCACCTTCCTCCCATCCCTGACAGAAAACTAAGTCCAATGTATGTCCAGCACTGTGGGTGGGGCCAGATACTTGTTGGGACAGCCCCATGGTTGCCATGGTAGACATGAAGTCCTGAGCCGCTCCCGTTAGGGTAGTCTCGGCGTGGACATTGAAGTGCTCTTTATTCAGCCATAGACTCATGCACTCTGCTCCTTTCTTTATCCAGCATGATGGGAAATGCTTACATTTTCTTTTTCAAGTTATCCACAGTTTAATGTTGTCCTAAAACCTAAGCTATTGTTATTCAAAACAAGTCAGATTTACAGAGCACCAATGAAGCATAGCTTGTTTAGTAAACCATTATTAAGAATAACGATAGTTTGGGATAAGATGTCATGACAAGCTGCAGTTAATCTTAAGCACAGAAGAAAGTAAGAAGCACATAAACCCAGCGTGTTTCTTGTAAATGTAAGCATAGTTTAGTATTATATGCTGTGGTTTATACCTGATGAAAATGCTATTTATAAATGGGTATTCTGCAGTGGTTCATTGAACAAAGTCCAAATGTGTACATACCATGAGAATTTCCATTAGCCAAAAAACGTATTAATAAAACTAGAATTGCACAAACATGAACAAGCAAAATAACAATATTATAGTAGTTAACGTGATGATGTCTTGCAATGTTCGCATACATTCTAACTACCAGAAAAGGTAACTTCAACAAGAAAATGTACAAAGCAGTATTCTGAGATAAATTGGATTTACTATCACCAAAACTTTGTACGGACCCTAGAGACAGAAGGACTTGTGTGGGGTAAGACAAGGGAGATTGAAGACTGGAAATCCCCATGGGAAGAAGTCCCAATATAAAAGGAGCAAAGAGAATTGCTGAAGGGAAGCAGTAAACAGTATTTTTTATATCTTCATTTGAACAAACCAGCCAATTCTTGGTTGCCAAAAATGGAATGGTAGACAAAGGAGCTTTGAAAACTGTAGGCTCTAAGCCAGGAAGTCAAGAATGCGTAGAGCTACCAGGTCTCTATTTTTGAAGACTCTTGTACTTTTAAAGTTGCAGAAGACTACAAAGAGAAACTGTACATTTCCAGCATTACAATGCTGACACAAATGTGTGAATTTTGCTTTTAGCCACTATGTGTCATTTGTCCAGTGAAATACATTTTGTTTATATTCTCATATATAGAAGTGTTATATCAGAATGTTGTTTCATTCACAGATCACACCACCTCCTTCACTGTCTGACCCACTAAAAGAACTCTTTAAACAACAAGAAGTTGTAAGGATGAAACTTCGTTTACAGCATAGTATTGAAAGGGTGAGACTCCCATGAAATCTTGCATGCTAACTTCTTTAGCATTTATACAATTATCAGTCCAGGGAGAATACATATTAATAAGCTTCTATTTTTATACTTCTAAAGTATAGAAATATACTTTTAAAGAGGAGGATGAGAAATAAGTAATTTAGATAAAGACTATTAGCAAATGCAGATTATTTTTAAACTAGCCTTTCAAATGCATTGATTTTTTTTAATTTGGTGGAGTTTATGATAAGATGGGTTGCTGTAAAGGACACATGAACAAAATTTTGTATTATAATGTCATGGTTGTCAGTTGCTGCAGATATGTGGCCAAACAAATTTTTGAGTGGTTTATGTTTACAGTAAAAGTTAAAAGTTTTCCTCCAAATTCTTGGCATACTCAACTAGAGTGTTCTGTTCCATTTACTTTGGTTTCGGTCACCAGAATATATGGGGCCAAACTTCATGGCATAAATATAAATAAGTTGCCAGACGCTCTTAAGAACAGAAGAGGCTCTAAAACTCTGTCGAGTTTTTCATGAGAGAAATGAATAAATGTTGCTGACAAGTTTTAAGGAATAGATAGAAAAATATTAATTGTTGCTGTATTTGATATTTAAAATATTTGGAAATGTATTACTTTAAAAGATATCCAAGAAAATATTTCATGCTTATAAGGAATGCCTGAGAAGTTTCCTAAAAGTGTTATAATGCTTTCTGTTTGAAATCTCATTGTTTCAAATTCATTGTGAAAATGCAAATTTGTTCCCTTTGAAATAAAAATATAGGTGAGCTTCTATAATTAAACTGTATTTCAAATTTACATATAAATTCTCTGTTTAATTAGGAAAAGCTTATTGTTTCCAACGAGCAAGAGGTTTTGCGTGTTCACTACCGAGCTGCAAGAACTTTAGCAAATCAGACTTTACCATTCAGTGCATGTACAGTATTGCTGGATGCTGAGGTTTATAATGCACCTATGGATGCGCAGGTAAGAGAAGACTGCTGTTTGAATTTTGTGCTGACTAATTTACATTACTGTTTTAATCCTTTTCCTTAAACTCATTTTTGTGACAATATGGAATAGTTACTAGGGTAAGTGCTTTTTAATAACTTTTAGGATAAGGGAGACTTGTGCAATAGTAGCAGTACACTTCTGCAGATCAATTGGTGGAGAATACAAGAATGAATGCACCTGCGTTCATGTTTGATGGCAGATTCCCATAGGTGGCTCATTGACCACTGTTTGAACAGAATGCTGGCCTAGATAAGGTTTACTATCCAGGATTACTTTTCTTATTTTCTTAAAACTGCCTGTAGCATAATGCCTTTATATAATAGCATTGTGTAAGTGCTTTGTTAATTCTGTTCTGATTGCCCAATGTCAAATGGATAGTAGAGAACTTGAAAGGTCAGAAAACAGCAGCTGAAATCATTCCAGCAGTGCAACAGTTTTTTATGAGACTAAAACATTTAGTGTTCTTTTTAGTTTAAAAAGATGACTAAAGATAAAATGGCATAACTTTACAAATAGTATATGGTTTGGAGACTTGATTTGATTATTGAATGAGTCATTTCATTTCATTTATATGCCACTTTTCTCCCAGGGGACACAAGGCAGCTCACAAAATGAAATGCAGGAATACCCAGCAGAATTGGTTGTCACTTAATTCAGGACAGAACAACAATAGCAACAATACTTTATTTATACCCTGCCACCATCTCCCCAAGGGAACTCGGGGCAGCTTACATGAGGCCAAGCCCAACAGTACAACAATGTACATATACAACATAAGAATACAACAATAAAATATAAAAAATAAAATAAAATACAAGAAACATAAATAAATACATCATACCATATAAAATCACAATATTTGAACACAGAGAATTAATCGTAGTGGGCAGGGCCGGTGACAAGGATTAAAATTTTAAAAACACTGGGTGAGAGGGCAATATAATGTATCTGGAAAGGGGGTCCAAGGGACAAAGTAGGGTTAATTACACTAACAGGTAAAATAAACTTTATACAAAACATATTTGATCCTCCATATTTGTAGATTTAACATTTGTGGAATTTATTTTTCATGGAATTCATTAAAATTCTCCAGGAATTTCAGGGTCCTCCAGAATTTCCACCACAGTACCTAGAGAGAATGCTTCTCTACATATTTGTAGGCCATTCAAAATAATCCTATGGTCAACTTCCAGCAGAAGTTGAGCATAGGGTTGTACTGGACAATCTAGGGATTATTTGAAAGGTGTTCTTTCAAGTAAAATAAATATCCCTTTTCCATATTCACATGTAGAAGTGGAGAGTCTAGTGTTTATGATTCACTTGTAGAACATACTTCCATGAGATATAATCATGGCCACTAAAAATGGCTTTAAGGGGAAGTTTAAAATATTCATGGAAATTTGATCTATCAATGGCTTTTAATTTGCAATAGTTAAAATTTAATTCAAATATTTCAAATGAAATATGATTGTTTGCAATATTCAGTATAATGGTAGTAACTGTTACAGGTGTGTCCTGTGAATTGTATGCAGTCCAGAGCCACAGCTGTTGTTCTGTCCTGTGTGCTGCAACTTGAGAGAAATGGGGAATAACAAGATGTAAGGGCTCATCAAAGATATTAAGAAAAGTTGTACAAGATGCAAACAGATTTTTTTCCTGGATGGGAGTGCAGTTTTCTCTCTTTCATTAGTTCACAAAAGTCTTGTGCGTGAAAACGGTTTTCTACTAGTACTAAAAGGGGACCTTTAGCTCTAGGTGGTGACCTTCATCAATCTACCATTTTAAATACATAGGGCAAGGCAATTGTTTTGGTGCAGAAATTACCATGATCTAACAATTAACATTTGCTATATTTTTCTAATATGTTTGATTTACAGAGTGATGACGGTAAAATATCAGTTAGAGATCGATTTAATGCAAGGCAGTTTATGTCATGGTTACAGGATGTGGATGATAAATTTGACAAATTAAAGGTATGTATCTTGGGGGGGGGGGGTTAACTAAAAAGCCGACTCTTGTCAAATTCCATCTCATTGTTTGTGCTGTAATAAATTCACGTACAAATATATGTGTATTTTTTAATTTAAAAAAATCTCCTGCCTCCAGCCAAATTTTCTTTCAGAGCAATGTATCAAAGTTCCTCTGCTCTGCAGGCTGATCAACAGGCTTCTGCTAGGCAACAACTGAAATATAGTCAAAGGCACAAAACTCAGTTCCCCCTGCACACTTGGAATTCCTGTGCGAACATTCAGTTTCTGCATCCATGTTCACTGCATTGTCAGAACACAGCAGGGATAGGACAAGCCTGTTTTATCTGTGTAATTGCTTCTCTGTGTGGTATCAGATGGGGAAATCATGCTTATCTGAAGAAACATAGACACTTTCAATAGGTGTCAGGTTTCTGCTACTCAAAAATTGACCCTACTTGTGTGGAATATGATTGTGCAAATGTTTAGATTTCTAAAGACAGAAGCCAGGATTTTAAGGGTTGTATTATACCTATATGTCTAGTAGAGAAACAGCCATGGTTTGTTGATATTAGTCACAATAGCTGAAAATAACCCTCTTTCTAAAACTCATCAAACACCAAGTTGTCTGTGTGGAATTTGAGTTTCTTCCAACATAGCATGAGGCATAGAAGTGTGGAGTAAGACACAACATACAGAAGAGCCCTTCATGTGCCCCTTATTCTTTGAGGCTGGGTCCTGGGTAATTCATTACACATTGTGTTTTAAGACGCATTTAATTGTTTCTGGAATTTAAAACAAGCATGATAGTTACAGTTCAAAGGTTAATACTCATTATTTCTACTAACATTTCCATTATAAATTCAGATTTTTTCAGGAACCTATATGATAGGCTATTCCAAAATAGATCTGATGATTACAAGGGCCAGAAAAAAATGTCTTATGGGTTTTACTGACTTCTGCACAATCAAGTTAGCTACCCATACTTTAGAAAATACTGTGTATGGTTAACATTAAAATGTACTGGAAATAATCAGATCTTCATCTGTTTGTTTTGAAATAGACTTGTCTCTTGATGAGGCAGCAACATGAAGCAGCAGCTTTAAACGCTGTTCAGAGACTGGAATGGCAGCTTAAACTACAAGAACTTGATCCTGCAACTTATAAATCCATCAGCATTTATGAAATTCAGGAATTCTATGTTCCTCTTGTAGATGTTAACGATGACTTTGAACTGACACCTATATGACAGCTAACATACCTTTGCTGTCTATAACAGCTTAAGGCTGTGGGACATAAATATTATTGTTTAAAATATAGCACTAAAGTGAAGTACTGCCTTTTCCAATGTTCCATATATTCCTCCACAAAATCTCATTTAATATTGTAAATGTAAATTTATTTTAGATTCTGCATCCAAAAAGCATCTTCCCAACAGATTTATATATGTATAACAATCTTTCACTGAAGATTTAACAGCGCTGGCAGCTGTTACAAGAAATACACTGAAAAGTACTTGTTATTTAAAGTTCACTTTAATTATATAATTATTAAACTCCCACAAACAACATCAGACCTGTGGAAGAAATTATAAACTTGGGAGAATATGGGGAGTGAAAGTCTGTTCATCTTATATAAGTATGGTTAACTGTACAGTTTTCTTTTTGGAAAAGATGTAATATTGTTTTCATTTTTTAATAACTTATTTTATACATATTGTGCAAATGTAAATATTGTATTTATTGTTCATCTCTGTATAAAAATAGATATTTTAATTGTAAAACTGTTTTGTCTAATGTTTTACTGGACCAAAGTTGTTGTTTCTTATCTGTAGTATATAGGCAATTTTCTTTTACAAGGCATGTGTTTGGTTTAGCTGCTTGTTCATCACCATCATCGCTACGATTTGACACTGAGCAGTATTGCATGCTGGCTCAGTTCAAGTTTTCCCAATGTGTGTGAAACCTAAGTGATTACAACATGTGGTGCCAATCCACTAAGCACTGCTTCTGTACAGCGTCCTTTCATTCCGAGGAATTTGCATGAGTGTCCCTTTCTGTGTAGCTTGCAGCAGTGCTTCATGGATGATTACACCATGACTTTCCAGAGCTATTTGTATATTGCTCTGCTGCTGTAACATCATGCCCATGACTTACTATGCTGAGAGTATTTTGTTTAAACCCTTAATGATCACATTGTGTTCATAAAAAGCCTTCCACTGTTCTTTCTCCGCTCTTCCAAATGCCTCTCAGTGAAAAAAAAATCTTAAATTGTACATTGTCTATTTTAATATTTCCCAATTAAAACATATGTGAATAGTTGTAAATACAATGTTTAATAAATTCTATTGGTCATGCTAACAGATGGTTGAATCTTTGTGATTGTGAAATTTTCATTCTTGAAATTTTATACAATTTGACATAAATAAATATTTGAAAGTTCCACAATAAGATTGTACTTGTATATTCTGACCAATCTTTCAGTGGCTTTTGAATAACTGATTAATGTGCTAGTCATGGATTACGAGAAAAATTACTGCTATTATGATGTGGAGGGGAGGGACTGCAAATAAGAGATTACTTCAAGGTTTAAATCCTCTCTTACATGAAGCTGCCTGAGCAATTCAACTTTATCTATATCACACAATATTTGGGAATAAAATGGGGGAAACACGCATATGCTCTGCCCTCCTAAGCTTCAGCAGTGGAAAGGAGATCTGTGATGAGCCTTTTCAGCCACCTACCCACTGGGTACAATTGGGTTGCTTCTACCTAGGTACATGCTATCTCTGAACAGCTTTACAGTCTGCCACAGTCTGCCCTACCAGTGAACTGACCAATACATGCTCTGCCATATTCCCTCCAATGTCACTTCCTTTAATAAGGGTAGGGAAAAGATTGGCAATACATGAAACTGCATCATATTCTCAGCTCCAACACTGAGACATGAGATAGAAAGGGCAGAAGCAACTGCAAGAGGTATGGAAGTAGCAACAGGCAGGTGAATTATTCTGAGGCCCAGTCTGTCATACTGGTATCTTCAACAAGGATTCAGAATTTTTAATTGGATAAATGCCTTGCTGGCACAAAAAGAATCCAAGGAGTTTATCTTCCCCCATACTCCAGCTTCACTGAATAAACACATTGTAGAATTTGAGAAAAGTCAGGAGAGATTCTTCACTCTCAAGTGGGGACTTGGGCCAGACAAATAATCCCAACACTTAAAAAGTACAGCAAGAGAGATGCCCCATCTCTTCTGGTACACTTAGTTTCTCTTTCAAGGTCAGAAAAAGAGCAAAGGCTGCTGCAAAACAAATTGGTGAACCCTGCTATTAGGCCAGAGATCTTTTTTATGCTATTTTTAAAGCCTGTGCATAAAGCAAAGTGGCAGCCCACTGCATCCATCTGTTCTGCAAATTGCTTGGTCGAATGCCACAGCATTGTGCAACAATTCAATGACCATCCTTAGCATCTACAATGTCTTTCTAGATGCTAAAGATGATACCCTTCTTTCAATAAACTGAAAGCCATGATTACAACTCTCCTCCTCTTCCTTGTTGTCACAACCTCCTTGAAAAAGTAGATTATGGTGAGAAAGTAGATCATCCTGTCTATTTCACAGCCAGGTAGGGACTTGACCTTAAGCCTCCCAAAACCCAGTCTGACATTCTTCATCAATGCCATTAACTCTCAGCTAATATCACAAGTCACCACTGGCCCCAAAAACCTTTTAACCCAGTCACTATAGCAGTGAAGTAAATATATATATATATATAAAGGAGCAGTTGCTTTCTCACGAGCAAAGATGAAAGGTGAACAAAAAGTCTTGCTAGTTTTGGAAACACTGTCCTGATCACCGCCACTTGTATCTCAGTTGTTGGAGCAAGGGTACACTCAGTAGTATTCTTCTGCATAAGCAACAAAGGAGGTATTTATAAATCCGGGTGTAATATGAGCAGATTAGTTGCCTTTCCCTTTTAAATGCTGACTGTCAGCCCTTCCCTTTTATTAATTTATGAAACTGGCTGGGAGCCCAAGTGTAGTCATAAGAAGCTGACTGAATGTTGTGTGGGCTTACCAACATTTGAGAAATAGGGAGGAAGGTAAGCAGATCCCAAGGGCCTGCAAGGGAGGCCACAGATAAAATTCACTGCAGAATGAATGCAGTTTGACACTACTTTAACTGCTGTGCCACAATGCTATGGAATACGGAAGATGCAGTTTCACAAGGTCTTTAGTCTTTTCTGGCAAAGACTGCTGTTGCCTCACCAAATGACAAGTGCCAGAATTCCAGAACACTGAGACATGGCAGTTAAAAGTGGTGTCAAACTGCAATCATTCTGCAGTGTAGATGCACCCATAGACTGATACTGGCCAATTGAATGTCACAAAAACCAGTGCAAGTTCACATTCCCTTGCTGGTTTGCTTGGATAAGAAAGCAGAGCTGCCCAACTTTTTGCCTGTCAGCTAAGGAGCTACATGGTCCTGAACAGGCAATTTTCAAAGAATAGGGGTATTCAAAGGCACTGCCAATGCAGCAGTCTTGTCTGTCTACCATACACACTTTAACTTTTAGTTGCTCTTTGGTGGAAATGAGTACCAACACTTTCAAAATGTACTACTTCACCAACGATTCCTAACCTTTGATCTCTACAGGTGTTTTGGATTTCAGCTCCCAAACTATAACAAACACTATAACAAACTCAGCCCCTTCCTTAAGAAATGGGGCCACAAAGTGGAGTTCACGACACGTGGGTGTGGAGAAGGGAAAACCACAGATTATTTGCTACAATGCAGTCTGAGCTCTGCCACATGCACAACGAAGGACCTTCTTACAGTGGCGCCAGAGGCACTCGAAGTGGCCAATTTCTAGTCAAAGGAAATTTAACATAATGTCAAGTTTTTAACCCTGATTGCATTTTCAAAATACATAAATATTCTCAACTTGCTTCTGACACAATAAATAAATAGCCCCTTCCTTCAATGTGGGGTGCAACCAAACTATACTCACTTACTTAGGCAATCTCTCGTTGTCCGTGTATGATGGCCTTTCAAGGCTTTCCAATTCTCGGTGTCTGTGACTGTGAAGCCCTATTCTTGACTCACATGTTCTTCCACAGTGAGGGCATCCGTTTCCAGGTGGCAGTCCCAGTCAGGGTTGGCTTGACGCACCTTCCTCTTGGCACATTTCTCCCTTTCGCCCTCCATTCATACTTCTTCGAATTCTACAGCACTGCTGGTCACAGCTGACGTCCAGTTAGAGCGCTCAAGAGCCAGAGCTTCCCAGTTCTCGGTGCCCATGCAACAGTTTTTAAGGTTTGCTTTGTGTATATTTAAGCTTAAATATATTAATATTTAACTACATTATATTTAAGAAATAGCCACACTGTAGAACGGATGCAGCCTGACACTACTTGAACTTCCAGGGCTTATTTATTTTTTATCGTATCAGCAGCAAACCAAGGGTACAGTTGTGATGTATGTGAGAAACACAAAGTTTAAAAACGTGATATTATAATAAATTTCCGTTGACCAGTCGCTGGCCACCTGGAGTGCCTATGATGTTGCTATAAGGAGGTCCTCCATTGTGCACATGGCAAGGTTCAGGCTGCATTGTAATAGGTGGTCTGTGGTTTATTCTTCTGCACACTCGCATGTCATGGACTCGATTTTGTGGCCCCATTTCTTAAGGTTGGCTCTGCATCCCGTGGTGCAGTCTGCTCAGTGCTTTCCAAGTCGCCTAGTCTTCTGTGTGCCCAGGAGGGAGTCTCTCATTTGGTATCAGCCATGGATTGAGGTGCTGGGTTTTAGCCTGCCACTTTTGGACTCTCGCTTGCCAAGGTGTTCCTGCAAGTATATTCCAGGGCTCAAGGCTATAGAATCCTGGGAGTTGTACTTTGGTGGGGCATCAGCATTCTTTGGCAGAGAAGGCGAGATTTTTGACCTTAGAAAACTACAAACCAGTTAGAGCACTCAAGGGCCAGGGCTTCCCAGTTCTAAATGTCTGTGACTGTGGAGCCCTATTCTTGATCCACATATTCTTCCACAGCGAGGACAGGTGGAAAGCAGTCCCGGTCAGGGTTTGCTTGACGCACCTTCCTCTTGGCACATTTCTCCCTTTCGCCCTCCATTCATGACTCTTAGAATTCTGCAGCACTGCTGGCCACAGCTGACCTCTAGTTAGAGGCCAGGGCTTCCCAAGGGTCCGGGCTTCCCAGTTCTCGGTGCCCATGCCACAGTTTGTAAGGTTCACTTTAAGTATATGTTTAAGCTTAAATATATTAATATATATTAAATATTTGGAAATTACATTCAAGCAATAGCCACACTGTAGAACGGATGCAGCCTGGCACTACTTGAACATCCAGGACTCAAGGCTATAGAACCCTGGGAGTTGTAGTTTGTCATCAGCATTCTTTGGCAGAGGAGACTTTAGACCTTTGAAAACTACAAACCTCACGATTCTACAGTATGGCAATTAAAGTGGTGTCAAATGACATTAAAACACACCCTCTGCCATGTATACATTTCGAAAGCTTACTTAGGAATAGACCCCACATATAATAATAATGCTATAAACTAGGCATGAGCAAACCTGGGCCCTCCAGGTGCTTTGGACTTCAACTCCCACCATTCCTAACAGCCTCAGGCCCCTTCCTTTGGGAGGATGTTAGGAATGGTGGGAGTTGAAGTCCAAAGCACCTGAAGGGCCCAAAGGAAGAGGCTTGAGGTTGCTAGGAATGGAGGGAGTTGAAGTCCAAAGCACCTTGGAGAGCCCAAGTTTGCCCCTGCCTATACTAATGGCTCCAACAGAAACCCCACTGCACTCCCTGCCTTGTTAAGACTTCCTTTCCCAAGATGCATCACAAGGGAGAAAGGGGGGCGGGGCGTAGGGCAACACGGAGCCACACTTCATTCGTTATGTAAGCACAGGAAGAGCAGGAGGAGGAAGTGCGCATGCGCACTTGTGCCCCCTCCAACCTTTTCTGGCCTCCTCTCGAAGGGCTCACTTCTCGGGTTCTTCCGACAGCTCCTCCCCACGCGCATGCGCCGCCTGATTCCGGCCTCTGCCCGGAAAAGCCGGAAGGAGTCCGCGCATGCGCCTCGGAGCCGCCGCCGCCGCCCCCTGCTCGCCTCGCGCCAGGCTTACTCCACAGGCGACGGCGGGATGGGGCCTGAAGCCGGGCCGCCCTGACGCAGGAAGGGAGCAGAGCCGTCCTGCGTCAGCGACGACGGGACCCCCGCCTCCTCCTCCTCTTCTTCCTCAGGTCGGTGCTAAGGCTCCCCACTTCCCCCCGCCGCTTTCTTTCCCACCGGGGTTTAAACCACTCCCTCCCCTCACTCACTCCCCCCCCCCCCCCCCGAGAATGTGTGCGGCCGTTGATCCGCCGCTGAGGCGCCCCCTGTACTGCGCACGCGCAAGAGGAGGGCCTCGCGCCCTCTAGCGCCC